GCTTGGTTCTTTTTGTCTCGCCACCGTTGTTCCGGCGGGCCCGGGGAGGGGGGGTGGGCAGACTGTCCAGGGGGGTGGACGGGGGGGGATGATGGCTGGAAAAGATTGGAGTCGGAGGCCTGTGCCCTGAGCTCCTTAAGGGCGAATCCTGCTCTTGGAAGCCCCCTGACCGCCCGTGACAATGAAGGGTCAGAAAGGAGCCACCTTTTTCCCCAGTGTCTCTGGGTTGCTTCTGATATTAGGGCCTCTCTGCCCTGCTGCAGAGCTATGTGAGCAGGAGTGGGGCTTGTGCTCTCGCTTGGGGGGCAGGCAGCAGCCTGGAACTCGTGTGTGCGTGGAATTGCAGCTCCCCTGATCCCTGGCTGGGGCCAACGGCAGCCGCTCTTGTTGCCCCTTTGCTGCACCAGAGATCCTCCCGGCAGTCTTCAGACGTGTGCCCCTGAAAAGGGAGGAAGCTGGGCCTTGCCTCTAGCGGCTGCAGTGGGGCTTCTCTGTCTTCTCAGCTGCCTGGCTCAGGGGGCTTCCTACTCCTCTGGTAGGAGCAGGGCCGGGATAGTGGGTTCTGGGGAGGGGCAGGGCCCCTCCCTGGCCGCCCTTAGCCTTTGCCACACCAAGTTAGTTGCATGCAGGGAAGACAAGCATCATCTTTCTGCAGGAAGGTGGAATTCAAGATTTGCAGGGACATTTCCTAAACCATTTGTGATCTTAAGTTTCTCTGTGTGTATACAAGGAGAGAGAGAGACTTTTTTTCTCCATTCCTTCAACCAGGGAGGAGTTCAAAGCTGGCCTGCAAAGACTGATTGAGTGATTTAAGCTGGCAGGAGAGGACTCCTTTCCGCTTTGAAAAATGTGGATGAAGAGATGCTGGAAGTCTCAATCAGGTAAGATCTTGATCGTCACCACCGCCGCCGCCTCCAAGTTTTGTCCTTTGTATCTTGAAACAGGCTGGGATTACCTAGCCTAGCCCAGGATTGTAGACAAACTCAGGTCTGAGTGAACCAAGATCACCTAAGTCATCTGCGGGCTCTTAAGGATGGGTGGGCAGTCTTCAGCCTTCCAAAACCCTCTTGCAACTTCCTCTGGTGTCTTGCTATTTACCCACCGTTGCCTGATACCACCACCAACTCCAGAAGGTTAGCCTTGGAGGAGCGTCTCTCCTACCTGCTGAACGCTTTCCCACCCCGCGGAAAGGTGGCAGAAAACCCTTTTCAGGGCAGAAGCTGGTCTAGCAGGAGAGGCGCAGGCGCCGTAAGCTGCTGCGTTGGGATCCTTCAGCGGACCAGTGGCGCAGCACGGTTGCCTTTGCTTCCAAGAGCTTCACAAGCTGTTTCCAGCTCAGACTTTCGGTTCTTGTGAATTCCACCTTCTGTTCGCGGCGGAAATCTTTGTAGGCAGAATGTAGTGAAATTCATGGGGTAAGGAATGTTGTATGTTAGTTTGGACAGCCAAACGGTAGCCAGAGGAGCTGTGTCCTTTGCCAGTTGTCTTCTGGCCACCCCCAAATTCTACCCCCAAATGTAGATTGGTCTGTTTATTCAACTTCTTTGAAATGTTTTTGGGACAGGTTCCAATAAAAGAGATTTCTTTTCCTTCTGTCCAGCGTAGAGATCTTTTCAGAAGGGGTGTTATTCAGTGCGCTGGGTAGTTGGCATGGCCCTACTGGATTTTCTGTAATACAGGTAGTCCTTGGTTAGCGACTGTTTGTTCAGTGGCCATTTGAAGTTACAACAGCACTGAATGAGGGGACTTACGACTGTTCCTCAAAGTTACAGCCATTGCAGCGTCTCTGTAGTCACGTGATTGCGATTCAGGCGCTTGGCAACCGGCTTGCACTTATGACAATTGCAGCGTCCTGTGGTCATGTGATTGCCATTTGCAGCCTTCACAAGCAAGTCAGTGGGGAAGCTGGCAGGACATCACAAATGGTGATCATGTGACATTGTGCTTAATGACCACATGGGATTCACTTAACAGCAACTGAAACTGCTGTTGTAAGTCAGTGCATCACATGATGTTGCGCTTTACAGCTGTGTTGCTTAGCGACAGAGTTCCTGGTCCCAGTTACCATTGTTAACCAAAGTCCTGTGGATTTCTCACCTGAAAAGTTAGTTGCTTCACATCCTGTTACTGCCACCACCACCACTACCCCCGGGTAACAATTTAATGTGGCTGCTCTTCTGGGAGCTCCTCTGGTCACTGCTGCAGCCAACTGGATTAGGAGGGTCCTGTTTAGATAGAAACAATTTCCATGTGTGGAGGCTCCTCTCTCCCCTGGTATGCTGCTGATGGCCCCTGCCGGAGACGCTGCCCCCTGTTTGATATGTTGTCTGGAGGTTGGTGGTGTCGGGATGGAGAGAAACAAACTCAGATCAAGCCTTAGCAAGATGGAATTGTTGTATATCTGCAAACAACAGTCTCCTCTGTCAACACTGGTTCTGGTGGCGGCTTGTTTGGGGTTATGTTCTCTCAGGGGGAGCTGGTCCAGGACTTGAGAGCGGTCACGGACTCTTGTGTTCTGCTAGGTCAGCAGGTGGAGGTTGTGTCCCGAGGTCTTCATCCAGATTTGGCTGGTATGCCAGTTTTTTGTTTCAGCTCTCTCCAGTTGCTTTGAGTCCTAATTTAACTGGCATTTTTCCTGCAATGCAAGGAATGTAGAGCTGGGGAAGAGGTGAACTGAACCAGGTAAAGAACCAAGTTCCTTCCCACTCTGGCTTGTTGAGCTTCCCAGAGACCAGCACTCGTGGGCCGCCTCTTCCCCTGCCTGCTAGCAGGGTCTCCAAACGCCCTCCAAGGGGAAGCCTTGCAGGGATGTTGCTCTATGCTGGCTGTGCGTGGAGCTTCTTCTCTTTGGCTTCCTTCGAAAGGGACAGAAATGGGCGAACTGCACTAGCTGAGTTCACTGAGTGTGGCATGAGTTTGCACGACACTTGACTTGATTACCAGGTTGATTGACTGATTTTTATTTACTGGGTTATATCCTCCAAAGACTGAAAAAATTAACCTTTGTGCAAGATATTGAACCACAAACCGACCAAGCCTGGTCCATTGTGTGAGTGCAGCTGTTGGTCTTATATCCGATCTGGTTAAGCGGATTGCGCGCACACCGTGGGGCATCTGAAGGGCAGCCGTCTGGTTTTCGATCTCAGTTTTGGTCTGTTAGGCCTTTTTCCCTCCTAGGGATGCGTGTGCTGACATGCGTCAGGACAACTCCTGTCCTTCCTAGCCATGTCTCCGGCTTGAGTTAAGGCCTCCTCACCACTTCCGTGCTTCTGCTACGAGGTGTTTGTGGTGCAAGAGACCGGGAGAGCAGAGGCCTGGAAGGCGCAGGGACCACCTCATTGTACGTTTGGTCAGTGGCCCAGAGAACCCTTGACCGGTCTTGCAAGACACAAATGCAATGCGTCTGTTAAGCCGAGAATAGCTGAAGAGCGGGGCCGGAACCTCTCAGGCGTGTCGGTCGCATTGGGGTTCCCTCTGTTGCCTTGTTGCTTCTACGAGCTGATCTGCTTCTTTTGGTAGTTTCGGTCAGATGAGCCAGCAAGGATCCCTTGTTCGAGAATGCTGCACATTTGGAGACAAGTGAGATACCAGACTACAACATGGGGCATAATCAGACATGCTGTGTGCACTGAAAATGGGTTCTGTTTCAGTGTGTTTGCTTTGCTTACGTAAAACATAAAAATACAGTATAAATAATAATAAGATGGTCTGGCTATAGAACAGCCCATGGGTCGGGAGACCTGGGCTGCCTCCAGTCACTGAGCTGTCGGTGAATTGCCAAGATATAAGCAAGTTCTTATCTAGACGCGTGGGAAAATGCCTCAGGTTTCTCAGCCTTGCTGCATCCGCTCATTTTGCTGGGCAACAAGGTGGACTGGGCTTGGGCTGGGCTCTTGCAAAAGGAGAGGTGACGGTCCCTGCTTCCATAGGCCTCTGGTCAAACTGTCCCATTGACCAAGGACCACCCTCTCCAGCCAGGATCTACCCCTGTGGTTCATCCATCTGGGGATGGCCTCTTAATTACCCTGCACAACCATGGAGCCAAGGGGCTGAAACTGGAAGGCTCTTTTCCGTTCTGGCTCCAGCCTTGAATAGCCTTCCTGTGAGATTAGGGTAGCCCTACTCTGTAGGACTGTCGGTGCCTTAGCAGGTCTCGGTCGCTCATTGACAAGTATTCCTAGGATTGCTGCGTGAGGACGCTTAGGGTGGTGTTCCACTCCCCTTGCCCCCCCATCCCTTTCTGTTTTTCTTCCTCCCTATAGTCCTGCTTCTTCCTCTGGGTGGGGTCTTATTCCCATTCCCCATTCCAGGGCAGTCTCTGCATTTGGGGATTTCAGAGGTTGACCCGGGAATCAGCTACCTCCTTCTCTCTGCCAGTTGAAGTATTGGCCTAAACCAATTTGGGGAGGCGAATCTCTAGCCCAGCTAGTTCTGACAGATGCCGGTCTTCCTGGAAGAAACAAACAATGGATGATCTGGCTCACTGTCGGCTCAGCCCGTGGTCTATCTGTGCTGGGCCTGGATGAAGCCTGGGGAGAGCTCTGGCAGAGGATTTTAGATCTTGATTTACAAAGAGACAGAACCAGCATGTGTCACCTCTGCAGCAATGAGTTCACGCGCTCGCCTTTCACAATTCCCCAGTACCTGCGTCATTTATTAGTCCTGTCTCAGAGGAGGGTTTCCCCATTGGCGTGTCTGGATGCTCTCCCCTCAGTGGCATTGTTGGGTAGATACAATGGTGTACCTTGCCAAGAGTGCTCGTGGTAAGATTCGCTTGGACTGTGAAATTGAGACAGTAGCACACACGCTTCTGCAATGTCCTGTGATGTTACCCTATGAGCACTGATGAAGTTACCTAGTCGGGATATGAAACATCTGCAAGCCAGCCACCAAGTTCAGAGAGCACCAAGGCCCCCACAGTTGAACCCTGAACTATGGATATTCTCTGCTATTGAAATGATCTATCCACCACTTTGGAGAGCTAAGTTAATCTCCCCTCTAATTACAAACTATTCAGACTGCTCCCGTATGGCAGTTCTGCGCTATTTAATTGGTGACCAGGCTCTATGATTGTAGCCAAATTTTGCACCAATGCTATGAAAGATGTTTTTGGACCTGATTGCTCCCCAGACGTAGGCATGCATAAGCTTTTTTTGGGTGCTCTCCAATGTATTTTTTTACTTCTCTGTGTTTGGTCTAGGTCGGTATATTTTAATAAGCTTTAATAAACAGCTGTTAACAGCATTAATATGTTTACTAATCTGTAAAGTGCCAGAGGAGACCCTGTTGTTTTAAACAGTGCCTTACATCTTTTTGTCCCTCCTTTCAGAGTTTGTACCTGGCACGAACAGTAGGTGGAGACCTCTGCTTGGGACCACCTGCTCCTCTTCCACCAACCCCTGTGCCCGCATTTGTGTGGGTGCTGCTGATTTGTTGCCTCGGTGCTTCCCTTCCTGCTACCAGCCTTGGGTCTGCCCGTCCAGGAAATGGAATTCCTGGATCCGTCCTGTTCAAGGAGGCAAGGGGATCCTTCGCGAAGAGCAAGCAGGCTTATTCTGTAGCGGGCGATGTGAAGGCTCAGCGCCTGCAGTGCTAAATATGTAGGATGCCAGATGTGGCCACTCTTCCGGCTTCATTGGAGGCTTCGGTGTGCAGCGGAATTGTTTTTGTCAGGGCAGCCTTGGTTGTTAGGTTGGGTAGCGGCAGTGGCAGACGTTTCACAGGTCTGGCTCCCCGACTCCCACCCCCATTTTATGCATCATCTTAGTGGGTTGGCTGGTGCTTCCTGAAATACTAAAAGCTTTTTTTTCCTTTCAGTTGGTACGTGGTTTTATAGGAATAGCTGCTCTTTCCCAACAGTGCAACATTAATGCCCCCGTCC